CCCCCCCCCCCGCCGCCGCCTGCCAAATAGAATGTCTGTCTAGTATACCCTTTAGGGTTATCTTCATCTTTCATTGTCTTTCAGCTATTTTATAACTTTTTAAGTTGTGGAAAACTGATCATAACCAATGATTCTTGTCCACAGAAATGAATTGCATCCTGTGGAATGCAACTGATTGTGCTGGTGAAATGCAATTACCCTGTGGATAGACCAGTTCTGCATCTATTTGTAAATCTGTTCTAGCATTCCTTATTGCTTTAATACTTGGGCTTCATTGAATTCTTCTTTGAACTGATTGTAACATCTTATTAGTTCCCTCATTAATTAATGATTAAAAGAGGGGCTTCTCTGGTGGCTCAGTGGTTAAGAATTCGCCTGCCAATGCAGGGGACACAGGTTCGAGCCCTGGTCTGGGAAGATCCCACATGCCGTGGAGCACCTAAGCCCGTGCACCACAACTGCTGAGCCTGCCCTCTAGAGCCCACGAGCCACAACTACTGAAGCCCACGTGCCTAGAGCCCATGCTCTGCAACAAGAGAAGCCACTGCAATGAGAAGCCCCCACACCGCAACAAAAGAGTAGCCCCCGGGCTTCCCTGGTGGCGCAGTGGTTGAGAGTCTGCCTGCTGATTCAGGGGACGCCGGTTCGTGCCCCGGTCCGGGAAGATCCCACATGCCGCGGAGCGGCTAGGCCCGTGAGCCATGGCCGCTGAGCCTGCGCGTCCGGAGCCTGTGCTCTGCAACAGGATAGGCCACAACAGTGAGAGGCCTGCAATGACCTATTAGATGACTTCATGTCATAACAGGTAGTAGTTTTCAATTCAGCAATTTGCTTCAACAGTGCTGTCAAAAACTAGCAAGATTGTGGGAATGATTCTAAGTGGACTCTGAGAATGTTTATTGATGCAACTGATACTACCATTAAAGTTTCTACACTTACATTGATGAGCTGGTTGGTGCACTGCAAGACAAATGCCCTTTTTAGAAAGGATCAGCAAGCACATCGATGCACATTTCATTTCTGATCCTTTCTTCCTTGGGTTATACTAAATATGGCAGTAAAGTTGAACAAAATTTTAATAATTAGTAGCCATATTATTTTTCAAATGTCATGAGCCAGAGAGACATAGAAAATAAATTTGGCTAATAAATCACAATCACAGTAACAGATCTAATAGACCCAAGAATCCGCCAAATGTCATCATTTAAAGGGATCAGATCATTTAATACTAAAATGTATCTATCCTCAGGGTGAATAATAACATCTGTGAAGCAGCACCTAGCAACATTATGAAGTTAAGAATATCTAATTGAGACACTAGAAGGAATTACAGCTGTTAGGCCTGAATCTTTAAGGAACCAATGACATCTAATGGCTCACAAGCAGTAGCAGGATAAGCTGACTTTTAAGAAAGTGATAAACCATGAGAGGTAAATTCCAGAGCAGTGTAGAGTAGATGCCCAGTTAATTTAAAAGGCTAATTTCCAGAAGGCAAACATTTATCTGGTAAGAGTGTATAGCTCTTGACTCACCTAACATTTGAATCCAAAGTACATATCTGAAGAGGATGACTCATCCCTACACCTCTCCCAGAACCCTCAATCCAACAGTAGTTCTTTATGAAATTGACATTTATGAGCCATTTATTCAATCAGAAACCAAGGTTGATCCCAAGCCCCATCCAGTCCCAGCCTCTTATAGAAAAACAAAAATTTAGAGCTAGAATGCAGTTGCAGAATTGCCTATTTCGATTAACTAATACCAACTGAAGTACAAAAGGGGAAGGTGGCTTACTCGCAACACAGCAATTAAGTAATCAAGTTAGGACTATAGAGCCAAGGCATCTGGGGTCTCAGTTTAGGGCACTTTCTACTTTATTGTCTGTTTTGCTGCCTCTATTGATGAGAATAGTCACCTAGATGGAGAATCAGGAATCCAGTGTTTTTTTTCCCATATATCACTAACTTTCAATTTGCCCTTGCACAGATTACACCTGCCTACTAAATTATGTTTTAAAAAGCATGATTGCAATAGTGGTTTGAAATGGATACTGACATAGTTCAACCACTGGCATACTTACCTGAACCACACAATGATGTGGTTGACACTGTAGGCTACTTTATCTCGTAAATATTATGTATTTAGGTTCAAAAATATTATGATAGCCTTTATATGGCTGATATAAAGTTTGGGAATTCTCCGTTTCATTGACAATCTGGTGGTGGGAGTAGAAAATACTGTCTGGATAAAGTAATAAGGTGCCTAAAATGACTGACTGGATGCAGAATTTATGAGGAAATGCTAAGGTAGCAATCACAGGTAAATGGAGCATTAAGGATCAAAGGATGTAAAACTTGGATTTATTTCTTTATTTTAAAAGAAAAGCAATTGAGACTGTATAGAGAAGAAAGCTCAGACTCAGTGAACCATGACTACAGGGTTTATAACTACAGCTAGTTTGTAAAGCACAGAAAAACAAGGACATATGAAACAAAAGTATGTTGAGAAAAGAGGAAACCTAAAAGAAAGAGTTGGGAATAATTGAACTAGCTAAAAATAAAGAATCATATAAAATGTGGTAATTAGTCACCAACTTAAAAATATGAAAGAAATTAAGAGTCATTCTGGTTTCATGAGACATTGCCACAAGTTCTGTGAATGGAATGGAATGAAATAAGAAAACAAAGAGATTGAGCTTAGCCACATTGTAGCAATGTAAAGAGGATCCTTATTGAAAGCAGAGATGTGAGGAGAAACCAGAACATAAATATCCAGTTAGTCAAGGCCTGCCTAGAAAGAGATAAAGGTGGAAGAGAAGAAAAAGGAGTTCATTCAAGTCAAAGGCCTATAAAGGAAATAAAGAAAGGATTTTTGCAAACACACCAGAAATTCTAAAGAAAAAGCAGGCCAATGAATATTTAAATAGGAAAAGAAAAAAAACTAAACTGACTAATCTCCCTTTCATAAATTGCCTATATCAAACTATAGATTGGTGTTCTTAAATATTAAGCACAAACATTATGATATAATACAGCTTTCACCATATTCAGATACAGACATTATATACATGCTGAAAATTCTTGAATATAAAATAACCTAAAACATCTTTTTCCACAAAAATAAAACAAAGTCAGGGGAAAGAAAGAAGTTTACCTAATGAACTTAAATGAAAATAAGCAAACAATTTTAAGAAAGCAATGAAACCAAAATAGGACTAGACCAACCGCAAATGGGGAAATCCAAAAACAATAAAAAGAGTATAATTTTAAAATATTGGAATGGTTATGAATTTGGGCAAGTTATTGCTAGACAATATTCAATCCATAAGGATATTAGAGCATAAAACTGAATAGTCATATATGCAGATAATAATGGGCAGAGTTAGTCTACTTATATGGTCGTAAAGAAAAAAATGCCTTTTTAAATGTAAAATTTTTTTTTTTAATTTTATTTATTTATTTATTTATGGCTGTGTTGGGTCTTCGTTTCTGTGCGAGGGCTTTCTCTAGTTGTGGCAAGTGGGGGCCACTCTTCATCGCGGTGCGCGGGCCTCTCACTATCCTGGCCTCTCTTGTTGTGGAGCACAGGCTCCAGATGCGCAGGCTCAGTAATTGTGGCTCACGGGCCTAGTCGCTCCGTGGCATATGGGATCTTCCCAGACCAGGGCTTGAACCCGTATTCCCTGCATTGGCAGGCAGACTCTCAACCACTGCGCCACCAGGGAAGCCCTAAATGTAAAATTTTAACAGTAAAATGAAAATACATATGAAAAGAAAACTTAAAATGTGTACCTCATAGCAAGAAGTGCTGCTTTTATTATCATCTAGCTTTGGTAAAATTTTTTATGGACTGATACTTGAGGACTAGAATTCAACACTGGTTCTTCCATTTTTCTTAAATTGAAGTATAGTTGATCTACAATATTATATTAGTTTCAGGTGTACAACATAGTGATTCAATATTTTTATAGATTTTACTCCATTTAAAGGTATAAAATATTGGCCACATTCCCTGTGCTGTACAGTATATCCTTGTAGCTTATTTTATACATCGTAGTTTGTACCTCTTAATCCCTTACCCCTGTCTTGACCTTCCTCTCTTCCCTCTCCCCACTCGCGCGAAGTGGCGGGGCTGGGCGCACCGTGCTACTGCGGGCTCCGGCAGCACAGCGCACTGCGAAAGAGGCCGCGGCGGCGGGGACTCGCTCGATGGGAAGAGAGAGGAACAAAGCCTGGCCCCGCGCGCGGCTCCAGCACTTTGACGCGCGGGGGACGCAGAAGCCGGGGCGGGCCGAGGCGCGGCGGGCGGGGGCCGGGCTGGGTTGGGCTGGGCTGGGCGCTGTGCCCGCAGCCCCCGGCTCTAGGCGAGCCTCGCGCGTCCTGCTTAGGAGCGCGGGGCACGGCGGCAGCATGGGGTGCGGCAGCGTGGGGTCCGGCAACTTGGAGCTGATTTTTGACAGCGTGGGGCACTTTGGCAGGTAGGGAGTTGGAGTGGGGGTGAGGAGGGAGGTCGGTGCCTGGGGGCGGAGCGGGAGCCGAGTCGGGGGAGGCGCCGGTGGGGTCTGTTTCTTCCAGTTGCGACGGGGTTCTCGCGCTGAGCTCGCGATCCGAAAACATTTCCATCCCTCCTTTCCCAGAGAGGTCGGGAGGCCTGCGTCCTGACTCCTGGCCCTGGCTGGGCTCATCCTTTCGAACTCTGGCGGCGGCATCTCCCCAGAGCAAGCAGTGGGCCCTGGGGCTCGCTTCGGGAGTGGTGGGTGCAGGGCTCGTCCGACGCGCCTACCGCTTGGCAGGTGGAACCTGGGGCGCGCCGTCTGCGGGTGCCGCCGTCCGGAGCCCCGGCTGGAAAGCC